TCTCTCTCTCTCTCTCTCTCTCTCTTTCTTTCTTTCTCTCTCTTTCTCTCCCCCCTCTTTCTCTGGTATGATATTTCACCTCTGTTATAAAGTGTGTGTGTGTGTGTGTGTGTGTGTGTGTGTGTGTGTGTGTGTGCGCGTGCGTGTGTGCGTGCGTGCGTCTGTATGTGAGTGTGTGGTTTCTGATTTGTTAAACATTCAGGTAGTGGGTGAGGATGGATGGTTGTTGACATCTGACGAATTCTTATACACTTCAATGACGCAGCTTGTTCTAATACACATGACAGAATAATTACATACTATCTTTTTTTCCACAAAGCAAATAACGAAAGATAGAAACATCTCAATCAACAGCAAAATGAGTGTTCTGAAATGGTGTGTTTAGTCAACCCTTCTATATTGCTGTGAATGCTGGACAATCACTAAAGACAGTGAAAATAAAATATAAGCAACAGAAATGTGGTTTCTTAGAAGACTGCTAAGAGTATCGTGGAAGGAAAAGAAATCTAATGAGGTAGTGCTTGATGAAGCCCACGAGGGACGCTCAAAGTTAAAAACAATCAGGAAACGACAAATGCAGTTTTTGGGACACATGAATAGACATAAGGGTCTTGAACATTTAGATCTAGCTCTCACTGGCAAACTTGAGGGCAAGCGAGGCAGGGGTAGGCCCAGAACAACATACTTAGAGAACATACAGAAATGGGTAACAGGGAAAGATCAGGGAAACGTAGCTTTTTTGAGAGCATCCGAGCAAAGGAATGAATGGAGAACCATGATCGCCGATGTCTGTCGCAGATCTGGAACTGGATGATGATGATGATGATGAAATAATGAAATCCTCCCCTACCCCACCATAGCCTTAAACTAACTGGCTGCGTTCATAACGAAACAAATTTGAGAGTCAAATGGAAAGTTATGCATAGAACCCAAAAGGTCACTGCATTAATTTGCCAAGAGATACCGTTATCCTTGCTCCAACGTTTGATTATGTAAATGTCTACAACAGTCTGGCGCGTTGAAGTTAGGCTGAACTCTTTCACACCGTACGATTCGTAAACCTACCAAGGGCGTATTCAAGGGATATTGCTTTTCTACATGTTGTACCACTGAGGCATAAAACTATGAGGTTGACCATAGTAATAATTGAGTAATCCAAAATTTGGATTTTTTTGAAATTAGGGTTCATGTTAGATCAGATGTCAGTTAAACCAGCTGCACTTTCTTTAGACGTTTCGCACAGGTAAAGACTGAATGTGGTTGGTTGGTGTAGGCTCTTGCGTGGTTTGTTCCTTCTTTCCTATCACACTTATGTCTCCTCCTTTTCTGTGTTTTCTACTCTCTTGTAACATTTCTTATCTTTAATACTTATACGACCCAAAAGAATATGAGAGTACAAGGGAAGAGGAATACCGGGATCGAGGGTGTGAAGGATACCCCGAAGACCCACAACATCCCACCCAGCCAGGCCATAAAGCTTGCCAGAAACTGAAAGCTCTTTCTCCCACCGACACACTACAAGGCATAAAAAGGAAAGATATAGTTCGTAAATATGTAAGTAGGTATGACTTAATTGTGTTTCAAGTTCTGTGAAATCTTTACTTAAATAAAGAATGAGCAAGAGCATACTCCGCCTGGATGTTAGGAAGAGGTACCAAAAGAAGTAAACTGTGAAGAACTCCGCTGCTCAGATCACCGTACTTTCAGTACAAAATTGTTGTCTTATTCAGTATCTATTATTGTCCTTGTCTCTCTAGCTCCTTGTCTTTGTTTGTTAGTCTCCAGTAACGCCTCGAATACTCGACACTTATATGACCTATTTGTGTTGCAAGTGCCTTAAAACTCTCACTTATACTGAAACAAAGCTGCCAGTAACACCAACCGCTTAACTTTCCCCAGACGCTACCAAATACAGTGATCATTGCAATATTTACTTAACCCTTTTTTCTTCAGCAGTACACCAATATTGATGATGACCATTTCAATATGCATGGCCTGAATTTGCCTGGTCGGTAGACATGAAGGACATATGCTGCCCAAGTACCATTCCCTCCCTTCCATCCTTGACTTTTTATATGCTCCAAATGGGCGGCATTTTCAATACGTTTGGAGTAAAGTAAGGTGGTAAGGGCATGTTGTCCTAGTTGCAAATGTGATGAGGATACTTTTTATGATAGAGAATGCTTGAATTCTGAATTTTGCACAAAGTTCGCACGGGACCTCCGAGATTCTTTGTCCTTATCCATGACCATTAGGCTCACAATCTTACCTATCTTAAGATGAAGGCTGGAAAGAAAGAAAAGGACTGAAAGAGTGAAACTCTTAGACATAATTCAGAAAGGGAAACATTGCTGTTCGAAAATACTATGAGAGATGCAGACATGACAGTAATTTTCTTCAACGTTGCTTCAGTCAGCCTAGCTTTAGTTAATACTACTTTAGTCAACTTTTCTTTAGTTAACATTGCTTTGTCAACATTGCTTTGTCAAAATTGCTTAGTTAACATTGGCTTAGACAAAATTGCTTTAGTTAATACCACTTTAGTCAACTTTGCTTTAGTTAACATTGCTTTAGTCAACATTGCTTTAGTTAACTTTGCTTTAGTCGACATTAGTTTAGTCAACACTGGTTTAGCCAATATTGCTTTAGTTAACCTCTGACCTTCCTGAGCGGCTGTCCACTGATCATGCACATGTCCATGCGGAACGAGTCATCTCCCGTCTCCTGTACATGCTCCAGAATGTTGTACATGTCTATAGGCATGATGCTGGAGGAGCGACATTGCTCTTTGGAGATAATGTTCCACATGGCGGCTCCCGATCTCACTTGAGCGTCCACAAACCACAGATCCAAAAGCACTCTTTTCAAACCGTACATGAGGGTTCCATAAGGGAATCCGAGTGTCCAACCTGCATAAGGAAAGGACATGTTTTTGTTCTATTTTATGTAAGTGTTTTGCACCCTTGTTGACACAATATAGATAGTCTAAGAGGCAGGCTTCGCTTCTGCATACCAAAGCCAAGTCGAATTGAGAGGGATACAGTGCTCCAGCAGAAAGACCGAGTGGCTCAATGCAAATTCTCCCTACTAAGTACTCGAACTCGGGAGTCCTGTGTGCGACAGCGAAGTAACTAATCGTTAAAACACAGACGCCAAGAAAAAGAAAAGAAATGCAATAAAATGAATAAATGAAACAAAATAAATAAAGTATGACAACATTTTGTCGTTCATCCTTTTTTGGGTTATTGATGTCACACATATACACACAAGCACACCCGAATACACACACACACACACACACACACACACACACACACACACACACACACACACATACACACACACACACACACACACACAGTGATACAGAGTCAGATACAGAGACAACGACGCAAAGAGACACAAGAGAGAGAAAGAGAGAGAGAGAGAGAGAGAGAGGGAGAGAGAGAGAGAGAGAGAGAGAAAGAGAGAGAAAGAATCAGAGAGACAGAGAGACTACGAAACTCTTTGTTCACCTACCAAGCGCTCTGTCGTTATAGTATCCACCTTTCCCCATCTCCCTGACGGGCCCATACGTCCCCAGAAAGTCCACATACGCCTGCCAGAGGTTGAAGAGACTACGATGTGTCCAGGGTACCATCTTACTGAAGCCAGTGCTACCAGAGGTGGTAAACACTTTAACCATGTCATCAGGATCACAGGGTTCGAACAGCGGGTCAAGCTCACTGTCTCTCAGCTCTTCCAACAGGGTTTTTCTGTCACGAAAGGATAAAAATGCAACCTAACCTGTCTTATCAGTCACCCTGTTTTAACGGCCACTGTTCCGAGACTCTTTTGAGCTTTTCCCATTTCTCTAACCCATCCCTAGCAGCGAAAATGGCAATATAGTACAGGTGTAACGACCCTGTCAACACTATTAGGTTATTTAAGGGGTAGGACCTCTGAGCTTAACGTCCATCTCCGAAAGGACCAACCCGCATAGGATATTCATGTAAAGTGCCTTTTCCAGGAACACTATGTTGTACCGAGCTGACGCTCGAACCCCCGAACACGTAACCTCACGATTAGGGGTTAGGTAGCCTAACCAGTAAGCCACCGAGGCCACTCCCTAGCGGCAAAAGCAGCACAGCTTGAATAAATCCCTCAAAAACAAACTTGCTTGTTTTCCTAGGGAGCAATTGGATAAGTTCGAAGAAAACAATCAATCTTAATAATGGATTGTTCATTTGATCATTAATTCATTACTCTTTTGGGAAATCAGCGGAAAGTAATGGGCTTTCCTTGACAACTGGATGGATTTTGGCGAAATAAAACAGGAGTCGCCCCTGCGGGTTGAGGGCTATGGGGGAGCAAAGAATACACCTGCCGTGATACTGCATGTCGTAAGAGGCGACTAATTTATGTGAATAGATCTGGTCTCCTGAAAAGTGCCACTTTACTGAGGGCCACCTACCCGACCCAATAAAAACAGAAAGTTATAGAAACACGAACAAACACACCGTAATATTTTTCATCAAGGGAGGCGGATGTGCTTCTGTATCAGCAAGAACAATGACGGACAGCTGACGAAGGATTGGACACACTTTCAGGCAGTCAAGCAGCTGCATAACAAGGAAAGTGCTAGTTTGTAACCCAAAGGGTAAAAAGTCAAGGGAAAGACCACGTGGAACCCCAACCCCCCCCCCCCACCACAGTACGCCACCTCTACCCACGCCAAGACTACACTACATTACACCTGCACGGCCGGGAAGCCATAAATATTCCTTTCTTTGATGGATAGACATGCACCAAACACAAACAAAGTGATATAGGCAGTGGGGATAATGTACTTTCCTGCTGTGTCCGTTGTAGCAAGGTACCAGCTGTCGTGTAGTTCAGCACGTATTATGTTTCTGTTTCGAATCAATGTAACGACAATAGCTTCTTGAAAAGCAGGGCATCTCAATTACTATTAATAATAGGCCTAAATAGGGCTAAACGTTTAAAGAACAATTCTCTCAGACAAGAATCCTTTCAGAGAGAAGAATGTTTGCAGAGATTTTTTGCCAAAAAGATGTCGTGGTGACAAAGTCAACGATGCGTCTCGGTGCACAGAATGACGTTTGAATAATAATAATAATAATAATAATAATAATAATAATAATAATAATAATAATAATAATAATAATAATAATAATAATAATAATAATAATAATAATAATAATAATAATAATAATAATAATAATAATAATAATAATAATAATAAGAATAATAATAATAAGAAGAAGAAGAAGAAGAAGAAGAAGACAAGTATACTGTAAACAATCAATTGAAAGAAAAACTGATTGAGGGAGAAAAGGTTGGGGTTAGGGGTTAGGTGGCAGGGAACAATATGATTAATTTTGGCAGTTCTAGAAAGGAAGTAACTCCTACTGCTGTTGATAATGATCAACTTAATTCTACCAAACAGAAAGACGATAGCCTTCATAATTCAGAGCTTTACCATACTCAGGCTATAAACGAAGAGCTAGGCTGCTCAAAATGGCTTGAGAGAGTCAAAGGAACCTTGACAAACTTTAAACATCCCAACTGAAAGAGCTGCAGAGTTTGTCTGCCATAGAAAGTAAAAAGGGAAAAAACGTAAGTAGTAGGCCTTCATAATTCAGAGCTGTTCAGGACGTTCGTAAATGGGTATCCAGAAAAAAGAACGTTCCACTGATCTCGACAAGAATCGGAAAACAAAATAATATGGCACCTTCACAAGATATCAATAATGTGCCCCCCCCCCCCAAAAAAAAAAAGGAAAAAAAAAGAAAAAAAAAAGAGAGACTAAGTTAACTTGCAATTGAAACCATAATTCACTTACGCACTTCCAGTCCTGAACACATTTATAGCCGATGTCAGTTCGGGGGTGGAATCAATTTTCAAATCTAAAAACCGTTTGGAAGAACCGTCTTTCTCTCCACTGTAGGGAAGGAACAGATTGGAAGACGGGCCTGGGTCTTGTAGATTGGCAACAACAGCCCGACATCTTGCTTTCTTGGCAGACTCAAACAAGTCGGCTCCGTCAGCTCTCACCAACTGAGGATAAACCGGAACCCTGTCTTAGTTTTGTGTATTAATCAATGCTAATATTTTTTGTTTGTTTAATAAAATAATAAATAATAGATAGCATTTGTATAGCGCATATCCCCGCTCAACAGCAGGCTCTATGCGCTTTACACTATATTACACTATATTTGTTTGTTGAAAATGAAGACAGATTGGAAGCATGGGGATCAGAAGGGGTCTATATTTGCATTGTACATATTTTCTTCTTTGTGCCAAGCTTAGTTAGGCTGGAATTTGGTGCAAAAATATTATTGTTGTAACTGGATGTGTTAAATCTGGTGTAAAATGGTACAGAGAAGAGCTGTAGTGAGGAGGAGTTTATTGATTAGTCAGCTTTGTTTTCGCCACATTTTTTTTCCTTTTCCTCAAACGAGATGTAAAGGATAATAATATACATCGGTTGGATTGGCTTTTGTTTATTTGACTGCTCTGAGGAATACTCAGACTTACCTGTCCGTTCATGGCGACACAGCCCGCCAGAATGATGCCCACATCTGTGATGAGTCGCTCGGGAGAGTTGGGCAGCACGTTCACTATCATGTCATGACGTTGGAAACCTTTCTGACGGAGCAGGGCGGCAAATTTCCCTCCCAACTGGAAGAGTTCTTTGGATGTGTACACGTCACGAGCTCCGCGGTCGTAGAAGATGAAGAGTTCCCTGTCTGGGAAGTTGTCGGCCAGAAACTTGAGGCGTTTACACAGCGTGTCGTCGGTGTCCGGGATTCCGGAGATGGCGCAGCCCATGGTCAGTGGTCAGTGGTCAGTGGTCAGTGGTCAGTGGTCAGTGGTCAGTGGTCAGTTTGTGGCGAGACTTCAGGGAGTTTCAGCTACGTGTACTGCAAGAGGTATACTAGCTGACAAGAAACAAATTCGTGTAATGATATGTTTATAGCTTTCATGGTTATGACTCAAATCACATAAAAATTGACCAGAAACTTGAACATACTTTCGAATTCTGTTTTTAAAAACAAATTAATTGCTCTTGAACAAGGAAAAGATGATAATGCAGTTCACCCCCATACAAAGTGCTTTTTTCAGATTAGACTTATCAGCAAACACAATCTTCCAAATCAACCCGTGCATTATTTGTCCAGGAAAACGGGATGGATATCTGAAACAAACATAACTTTCCAAGCGAAAGGTCCATTTCGCAGTGGGCTGCCAATTTTGAAAAGTTTTGGTCCAGAAAATATGAAATAGAATTCTAAGCCACAGGTAACTCACGGTAGGCAGCTTGTAAAATCAACGCACTCTTGAAAATGTTGAGGTTGTCCGTGATTCCCTGAACTCTGACATGACCAATATACCTCCTCAACTTATAAGTCAGAGTTCTGAGGAGCTTGAGACTATAGATTGAGGTTGAAAGGAGAAAGATCTATCACTTCCAGCAAGGTAGAGCTGGTCTGCGAGACGCAAGAGCTGTTCAGGACTTGGTTGACTCACTGCTCAGCTGGCTGTGCCGAGTGGTTTACGGTGCTTTTGTAAAATTGGAAAAAAATACTAAATCAGCTTCAATTGCCATCCCTTTTTACAGTTTGTTTTGTCATTACACGGATTATTACCGTGTTCAGATTTTGAAAATATTTGATAGTCTGTGAAATATTGCCATTTCAATAAGGCCAGCAACACGAACTAAACAGTGGCATGGATAAAAGATCAAAACTCGTTATCATTTCTCAATTCTTTCCACGTGCTAAGTTATTTTCAATTGTAGGTTAAAAAAAGCAACCTTTGCCCTTGTAAGAATGGCTAGGGGTCACGTATAAAGTATAGTCTGTTCTTATTTGATATGTGTTGACGTTATAAAGCAGCAGAAATTTCCATCCCGGTACTGTCGGGTTCATAGCTCAGCGCAAAATCTCTCAACCCGACTATCTCGGCCTCAGGACTGAGTGAGTTAACAACCATTTTGGTTTCAGGACAGTCAATCCAACTGAGCACAACTGGACCCCAAATCGACCTGGACTAGAATACATTGGGATTTCACAATTGGGGGGGGGGGGGGGGGGGGGGTTGTGGAAGAACAAGATATGTGGGAAAATGTTCAAAAGTCTCCAAGACTTCTGAGAAATCATCACGGAAGGCACGAAAGAGAATTCTCCTGAGCGTGTCAACTGTTTATCACCCAGCCCAGAACAGATCTGTCGTCAATTTCACTCAGTGTGTGACTTACTCGAAATTTGGGGTATCTGGAAGATATTATGTAACTTTGTGGCAGTCATTTTCAATGTTTGTGCCCACGTCCTTCGTGCCTCAATGGAGCAGAGGAAGATAGGACTGACGCTAACATTACTCAAACGCATTCACACATCATCACCATCACCACTATTATTTTTTAAAATCATCATTGTTTTTAGATCAAGACATACATCTATAATCCTGGAATATCTATCTCTAATAGTTACTTGTCATACTAACTATGCACGTAATAGACTATTAGACACTACCATAAGCACTTTTTTTCTACTGTTCAGATGGTGTCAGTCTCATATAAATGGGCATGGGGAAAAAAAAACAACAATAAAAAAACCCCATAAAATTTTCCACGGTAGTCTTCATTTGTTTTTGAATATTTTGATTTCTTTAAATAGTTTAAACCATTTGTGATGTAGCGTGGTGGAATCAGGCTCTCGTCAATTTTTGGGCGGTAGAGTTATTGGTATCATCTTAAAGCTTGTTCACTTGTCTTTATTTGGATGAAAAATATATTCATTTATCTTGAATACAAGTCGAGATATTTGCGAAAGAAGGAGGTGAGGGTCACCTGTTTTCAGAGGTAAAATTAGTGAGAAAATGGCCGCCTAAGATTAGTTATTTCCTTAGCTTAAAAGCCTGTGGTAACTGAAAATTTACATTTTTTGTGCCTTTAATCAACGTTTTTCAGAAAATTCATTCAGAAATGAGTTCTTTAATGGACATGAAAGGTGTTGAGCCAAAAAACAAAAATTTGATAAAAATTCACAAACCTGCGGAAAAATGCAAGTTTCTTCACTTTGATTATTTTGACGAGAGCCTGATTCCACCACGCTGCCTCACATTTCAGTATGTAAACTTCCTACCTGTTTAACTCCTCACAGTTCTTGGCAGAATGAAGCAGAAGATAAAACGTTGTTAGAAAATATTATCTAAAATGGCCGGTGTATGACGTCACCTATAACACCATCTATCCTGAGGTGGCGAAAACAGTTGGCCCTTCAATCGGGTTTATTTAATTCTGACATTCTTTTGGTTTGGTGTCCTTTTTTACGGTGCCTCATAATAATACGTATAATATGTAGTTTTAGTCCACCTTGACAAACTCTAGATCATCTAGCAAGCGAATTGCTTTGACCACGCCTATTATGTCAGTTCAGATTGCTTTGATAGCCTATACCACAGACCTTTAAAAACTTGATGCGAGATAATACAAAACAACACACATGCAAAATAGGATTTGGACTCACATAATTTGTGCGCATGAAGAAAGGCTCAATGTTTACCTAATAGGTGCTGGTCAGAACTACCTTGTCCAAAACAAGAAAACAACTGCTTTGTACGAAACCAGCTTTCCAAGAATGTGTAAGGAGCTCGAGACACGTTTGGATGTTCCTATATCCTTGCTATCACTAGCAAGGGATCAATAACGTTTGTGGAAAGCTAATATAAAGTTACGAGGAAAAGCAGATCTCTCGTAAAGTAAAAAACACATCATGCCTGGTTGCATTTACTGGTTCCCATTCGGTACACAATAGGCAAAAAGCTAAGACGATAATATGTGTGTGTTCCTATCGTACAAATGGGTCCATATGTCGGTAGTTTTCGAGATTGCGATGAAGATCATTTCCTGTAGAGTTTTGTTGTTGTTGTTGTTGTTCAGTTCTGAATCATCTAGTTAAAAAATAGATTCAGCTGTACGAGATAAACACAGATCTATTTTTGGATTCCGTAAGACTTGTTCGGTACAGAGATAGGTCTTTCAAAAAAATATCTTTGACGTTTAAACAAACTTTATTTAAAACATAACGAAACATAATAAAGCAAAAATAAAAGAACAAAAATACCTTGTCATACTCCTACTATTTGCTAGTATTGTTTGAAATCTACTAAATTACGCGTCAGCGAAACACAACAGAAACGCAATCAACAAAAAACTGTAAAACAATACATTTACAGTAGATCGCTAAAGTTGCACAAAACGGTATATAAAACCAAAGCTCCTTTGAATACAAGACGGATTAGGTCACATCTTTTTGCAGATCTGGTTCTCTGTTGTGACCACTTTGAGAATGCAGAAGTAGAGCAGCTATTGGAATGTTAACGACTGCATACAGAGTGTGGGAGAGGGAACGTTTTCAATTTCCATACACTTGACAGGTTTTGTGTGAAGCTGAAAATTATCATTATCAGACTGTGTCAAACGATGACTTTAAAAAAGGTCTACACCAGGTCTAGAAAAGAAAAAAAATCCCTATGAAAGCGACCATCCTAAAGGAAAGAAAGCTCCCTTTCAAACAGATAATAATAGATAGCATTTGTATAGCGCATATCCCCGCTCAACAGAAAGCTCTATGCGCTTCACAATCTATACTATTACCCCAGCAGACCCGAGAACTTTCAAAAACAACCTCAACTTCCTGGGAAGCATGCAGTGCCAGCTTCCATTTATAGGCGCTAAAACACTAAGATACTGACAAGATCTTTCGCTGTCTATGGCTGGGTACCCATTCCCACCTGGGTCAAGTTAGGAAAATTCGTGCAAAGTACCTTTCCCAAGGACACAACGTCGGGCCCGCGGCTCGAACCCCCGAACCCTTTCAACAACTTAGAACTCATGATAAGCATTATCATGATATTCATTAAATTGAACAGGTATGCTTGGAAAACTAAGGATGTCTAAATTATATTGGTGACCAAAATGATATTCTGATTTAAAGTCACAAGTAACAAAATGAATATTTAGTGTTCTTCTTACCGTTTCCAGTAGTAGGGCGTGGCTTCTTGGACATAAAAATTTAATGCAATAAAACACCCTGCTTCATGCCACTATATTCTTGAATGATAAACATGAGAAAGACACAAGTTATGGCAATCACCAATGCACCACCTAGCAACATTACGCTAAAGGACACTAGCTTTGAAATTTGTAACATCGTTTATACACGAATTTGACAGCTAGAGAACACCTGGTAGTTCTCGGAGAAGGAAATGACACAACGAACAGGAAAAGTCCTTGAAAGCCTTAAACATTCTCAACCAAATTTAGAGAAGAAAAAATACAACTCACTTCAAAGCGGAAGCTGGGGTTTTACTTCTCAAATGTGGAGTCAATAATTCTATAATGGTTGTGAGTCAGAGGTATTAAAAAGTAAAATAGTAAACGCGACTTGGAAAACAATTGCTTTCGCAAGATCCCCAATATCAGATGAAAAAAACCCAACTTTGTTATGAAAGAAAAAGCGAGAAAAAGATGCCAATTGGAAGTACTAACAAATACCTCGATATGCAAGGTCAAGATGCCACGGCTTTGCCACAATATGAGTCATCATAGAATTTAGAATTTTACGCTACGCTGCACCTTGAAAAAACTGATGGAAAGAGAGGCAGAGGAGAAACGACACCACCCCACCCTCCCCCCCGAGAGGAAAAAAATAAATACATAAATACATAAAAAA